TGTGTGTGTGTGTGTGAACTGTGGGAGCTTGTAACCATAATGTTCAATCACACTCAATTGAATCAGCTTAAATTGCCTCTGTGCCAATTTAAAAGGCGTCCGTGGGGATTTAGAGATATACATCTAGCCAGCAGCCCAACACGTAGCAGATCCCTGTTGAAAAGTACCACTCGTGTAACTGACTGGTTAAGTGGAAATCATTACAACATGTCGTACTGTTTAAAGATTTTTTTCTATAGCTGTGATTAACTGCGTCCAGCTTACAGTTGAACAGCTGGGACTCTCTAGGACAACGATTTTGGCTAACCACAATATGATAAAGTGTGTGTGGATGTGTGTTTACCTGCTCAGCATTATCCCACTGTTCAGGCTCCCCTAGGCAGGGTGTAGGACGTGTCGACAGGAGACAGTGGAAGGAAAACCCAAACACTTGATACACACGCCTCACAAAGTCCAAACATGCCACAATCTCTTCTTCCAGCTGGAAAGAAAGAATTAAAAATAGTTGAAGACAAGGGCAACAAGAGGACACAACAATGTAAATAGTGAGACTAAGAGAGGAGTTTAAACTCCAACCAGGGTGGAAAAAATAAATCTGACAATGTATTCGATGTAAAGACCTCCAGAGATGGAATTAGTATTTTAGAAGCTAACAGAGTGATGATAATCATGTGGCTATGATCTCTGTAAATCAACCAGATGCCAGCAGAAGGTCTGTAGGAGTGAAATCAGTATCTTGGGAAGGTTCCAGGGCACTATATGTAGGGGATCAGGATTACACAGACTGTGCAGCCACAGAGATGAACATATGGAGGTGCAATGTTTGAACAGGACAAAGACCTTCATTCATGCAGGCTGAGGCCTCCTGGAATGTCTCAGGAGTTATTTGTACAGCCCATCTAATCACTGTAATATGGTTCCACATGTGTCCCATTCACAGTTTCTACCACTTACAGCACCTTAAGAAGTATGCAGGGATCTAAAAAAAGAAAAAAAAAAAAAAAAAAGCCAGAAAAACAATGTATACCTGCTCAGGTGTGCAGAAGATGTGAGCGTCGTCCTGGCAGAACCTTCGAACACGAGTGAGGCCTCCCAGCGCTCCGGAGAGCTCATTGCGATGCAGTGCCCCAAAATCGGCCCATCGCAGAGGAAGCTCCCTCCACGAACGAACACGCTGCTCGAACATGAGACTAAACACAAGAAAAGACAGTGAGTCAATGTTTAGTCTCAGTAAAGACACTACAGCACAAGGATGGGTGTGTGTTCACCAGTGTGCCGGACAGTTCATGGGTTTGAGAGCGTAGGTCTGAGAGCCCTCCGATGTCACGGTGAACATGTTCTCGCTGTAGTGCTCCCAGTGTCCCGAGCGCTCCCATAATGCAGTGCTGTACAGAGTTGGGGTGACGACCTCGGTGAAGCCTCGCCTTCGGTACTCACTCTTCGAGACGCAAGGAAGGAAGGATGTGTGTGACAATGAGTGCAGGACAGGGTCACGTTGCCCGTGCAATAACTGAAGGCTAACAAGAGCAATATCCTGACGGCTGATCCCCAGGATACAATCAACACAGCACGTTTATTCTTACTGTAGGTTAATGCATGTACATGTGGTGTCTGTGTGTTAAATATGTTAACATGGACAATATAACATTTCTAACCCAGTGAAGGAATGGGGTCATAGTTGGAGCTTGCATAATCAAATTAAGTTAACTGAGTTGCTTAAGCAGCTCTAAAGAGGGTTATAAAGTTTCAGTTCATTTTAAGTGGTTGCTGCAGTGCTAATACTGGACTGAATGTGACAGAGTGTACAGGTGGAAGCTATGACTGTGGAGGGTTTCTTTTTTTATTCTGTTACTTTCTGATAATTAAGGCAACAGTTCACAATCTGGCCAATCAACATACAAACTATTGGGTTAAACAATGATTGTTATTCTACTGTAACTTGATATTCCTGAAATCTGCGTTCTTCCTTTTACTCTAAAGCTAACTAAATACACTAGTTACATATGCAGGTTTATCCGGGATACTACTTGTGTCTGTGTGGTGTTAGGGCGGTGTTTGAGGTTCCTTGTTTTTTCTATCTTCTCTAAAAAAAATAAAAAACATCTTTTACTCTACTTGAATAGATGAAATGTGTAGGGTGTGTCTTCAGTCATTAATTAGTGTGATTTATAGCATTTAAATGGGAATATGAATGAATAGTTCTATAAATCCAGAGAGACGTATTTGAAGTTTCAAGCTTTTGCAACACAGCAATCAGCTGGTATTTATATGTTATTGTTTCCTAACAACTCTATTTAGTACTGATGATGTTTAAAAGTAAACAGAAAGCTTTAAACTACAAATATACCTAATTTTGTCTTGTTTTGAAGTAATTGTGCTCTTCTTAAATGGCTCTTATATTGAATAAAGTCAGATTATTGCAGGCCATCGATGACTGTGCATAGAGTGTATGTTTACCTTAATGAAATCAGTCAGGGTGTTGTAGATGTGGGCTCCTTTAGGCAGGAAAAAGCAACTGCCTGGACTCACGTCATTAAAAAAGAACAGCTCCTGGTCCTATGCAAACACATGTATACATGGGGATTTATGACCGGAAAACCTTTTCAGTATTATTTTATGCATCTCTCCTGATTTGGATTTCGTCTCACCGTCCCGATGCGTCTGTGGTCCCTCCTCCTCGCCTCTTCCTGCTCCCTCTCCCACTCCTGCTTGTCCTTCTCTCCTGGAAAGGCCACACCTAGGAGACGCACCAAACCTGAGGACTCTGTCAGATTGGCCAGGTTTACGGTCGACAGCTGGGATGTTGCAGGTACGGAGTGAGGAGAGGTTGGGGAGGAGAGGGAGAGAGAAAATAAGAGAAACAAAGAGGTGACAAAAGAGAAAGGGAGAGTGAGTGTCAGCCAGAAGAGGAAGGGTAACAGCATGTCTGATGGATGGCAGTGTGTTTGTAAGGGCAGAGCACAGGAAACTGGCCTCTGACAAACACAACATCCTGCTGATGATATTTCCAGCCTGACTGCCATGGAATCCCAGTCTGCCCACTGACAGCCCAGTATGGAAACCCCTCCCACGCTCTGGATCAATAAAGACGAGGGAAATTCCATTTACCCAGCATGCGCCCCACAGAACGGACGGTGCCAAATAAGTCCAAAAGAAAACATTTTTTACCAATCTGATGAGGTTAACCCACCATATTTGATTATAATGTGTGAAAAAAAGTGTTGTTTGAATCTACTTTCTACTAAAATCAAAAGAAGTGGAGCTATAATAGATGAAACAGTACAAGGCAGATTTTGGATCAGTTTTGTAATACAAATTCAAGAAAACAAGAGGAGAGAACATAATGGGAACATAAAACCACAAAAAGGCAGGCAGAGAACAGAATAATGAACACACCTGGAGCATCTTGAAGACCTTGAGGAGGCCAGTGTGTGGGAGGAGGGGGCCGTTGCACACCGCTATGCTGTCCCCACACCTGAGTAACACAGAAAGGATTGGGTTCATGTGTTGTTGAGAGGTTAGAAGGCAGGTAAATCCACATCAGGTGTGTGCGTGTACTAATACATGCCTGTATACTGTGACAGCAGGGGCATTCATCTGCTCCTCAACCAGCTGTAGTCTCAGCTTACTGTTCTATAACAAGAACACACAGAAAATGAATATACAGTACAGAAGAACAATAGGAAGCGGTCTGACCTCAGTAAGTAAACACTGAGACAGCAGTAAATATCACAGGCAGACTATAAACTGGAGCCACTCCTACACAGTGAGTAATATCACTGCTACTCACATTATTCTGTTGATTCTTAATCTCACTGTGATTTACAAAGAGTGTTTTTCCTTGGGTGGAAGAAATTAACTACTAACTACTAATTAACTGTCAGTTGGATATGGTGGAGACTGTGTTTGCTATTGTTCTCTTTCTTTTATGTCCAGATTTAAATGTTGTAAATTTCCAACAAGGAACATATTTTTGCGACAAAAATGAGGAAAATCCTATCTTAACTTTAGACTTTAGCTGGCAAATGCCTTTTACTGACCAATCATAAGGGAAATCAGTCACACATGTGCTGTTCCTAGTATGACTAGTCATGGTGTATTGCTATAACAGAGTCATTAGTATTGCTGACCTGGAAGAGCTCTCGGACCTCTTCTGTATTCAGCTCCAGTCGGGACAGAGGAAGTTTGAGGGCTGCAGCCTGTTTACATCTCTCCTCAATGTCACTCAGAGACAGGGCGCTGTGTGTGTGTGTGTGTG